TCCTGTTCTCTTTCCTTGTTCTTCAAATCAGCAACTAAACGATCCTGTTCTCTTTCCTTGTTCTTCAAATCAGCAACTAAACGATAAAGAAAAAAACACGTAAGCAGAGACATCATAGAAGAGCAGTTGTGCGTACTAGTGACGCAGAAGTAAAATTAACAGAAAGAGACGATCCTTATTTGGATTGCAAAACTCACCAGATTTAACCCATGATGAACATTTTTTTGTTGGGCTTACTGGCACCTCTGCAGACACTCTCGAAACCGAGAGAGGAGGGTTGCTGAGGGTTGTTGAGGGTCCAAAAGAACTAAGTAGGTTTCTCTTAAACAAGGACCTTGCAAACCTTGTATTTACTTTAGGAACGGCTGGTAGACACAGGCCTGGTGAGGTGTTGATGGAGCGATGAGCAGGTGAAGAAAAGCCTGACGTGGGAGGACTGAGAACTGACCCAGTAACAGTAGGTTCAGTAGGCGGCACAATTACACTACTGTCCTCTTCGGCTTTCCCCCAGCGCTGCTCTGACTCAGAATCTGCTGCTTCATTGCCATCTTCCTTTTGCTTGTAGAACTTCTTGGCCTTCACTGGCATCATTCTGGAAACAAAACAATAAATATGAGAAAGCTGGGTCTAATAAAATCAAATATGACACACAAGTTATCTAGAGTGACATCACACTGCAAAAACATAGCAAATGCTGTTATCAAGTTAGTCTTCCTGCTAACTTATGTATTAAAGTTTAAGTTTGGTAATGTGCAATTAGATTGGGGAGACACTTTTACCCCCGTTTGGTAGCGAAAGACTGTTGAAGACACATCCTAGGCTCTTGAAAGTTCTGCTCACAACCAATAAAAATACTGAATTCTGACCCGCCAAAGAATGCTTCTAGACTTTAGATAGCTGCCCTTAAGATCCCATGCTACTTGCATTCTTTCACATGAATTATTCACTTGAATTGATGAACTTTTACCTGTAGATTCGCAGAGACGCCTAGAAGTTTCCGAAGTTTCCCTCCACTTCAGTACGGACTGGCGCGAGTTCGGAGCTGCTCTGTTGCCGTAGTTAGCAGTTCGACCAACATCATTTCACCAAATGTCTTTTTTGTTTTGCACGATAGCAAAAACCCAAAATCGAGGTGAGATCACCAAATTATCCGGAGTTTCTTGTTTGAGCAGAGAAAAATACAAATCTTTTTGTACGTTTACATTTTGATGAAGTTTGTAACAATTATTTGGGTTCTGAAGAAAACAGTACAGATTTTAGTATGCGCAGATTGGTATTGGAGGTCAACGACCTCCAAGTTTCTGATGTTGTCGTTGTTGTTTAGTATGGCGGGCTGACCTTTCTCAAGAAAAACAGCCAAACAAACAGAAAAACTCCCTCTCTTTCGCCTTTACATTGGTGGAAGTATCGAGTATTGTGATACGGATAATAATAAGAAAAAATTAGAATTTTTAAAGAAATTAATATCAAAATTGTGAAATGGAGGACTTACAATCCAAAAATCAGCGTCTATTGAAGGAAAACCAGCTGTTGAGAGAAATTGTAAACGGGTTAGTGTCATCCATAACCTTTTCAATGAAATAAGATAATATGTTCCTTTTTATGTGGAATGAACCTTGTTTTGAAATTGATTCAGTTATTCTTTCTCTGTTGTATCAGGGTGAAAGCACTTGTGTTGAACGACTCTTCTAATCCCTTGAACACGACCACAGTTGCTGCCAAACCTAGCAAGACTACACACAACACCAATAATCAAGAGATAGAGAATATGCCTTGTAATGTACCATATATTGTTTTAATATCACAGTCTAATTCCATTTACTTAAAAATTTATCCAAATATATCCAACTTGAAATTTTTTGTTTTCAGTAGTAAGTGCTTTGTCTACGAGCCCAATCCTTGGCTCAGGGAAAATAGTGCAACGCCGTCTCTTATTTGATAACCCAAAACAAGAACTCGATAAGCCAGATTTCAACAAGTGGATGGAGTCTCAGGAAAGGTAAATGGTAATAGCTCTATCTTTAAATGGAAAGCAGTTAAAACAATGCGTGCTTTAAAATAAATCCTCAAATTAATTTAAAGAAATTTTTTGCTTACCTTTACAATTAACGGTGCCCAACATTTTTGCGATATTTAACCTTGGCTTTTGATAAATATGTCACAACTTAGAAATGCCTTTGGAAGCACATTCATTATTTGCGTTGTTTTGTTTTTGTATGGTTATTCCAGGCAGTCAAAGAAAGATAACGGCCCTTCATATGCTTACCAAGAAACGGTAAGAGGAAAGAAAAGGAAAGCCCTGCCTGGCCATGATTGCAGTGGCTGTCAAGATGTAAGCTTATTCTACATTCTTATCTAAATTGTCTTTCATAAAGTTCAGAGGGACATTAGATACTTAACATATTTTACTTCAAACCAAAATATTTCAAACATAGGAAAATAATGTTATTAATCTTTTCAGTACTACACGGCAGCTGGGATTACTAAAACAGGCATCAGTAAGTGTTCCAAACACCGAGCCGCAGTACAGCGACCAAAAACACCACCGGGTAAGACATGACACTATTGGGTCCCCTATGACTTGCAACCTACTTGACTTTCTAGCTAATAATCTTTTGAAATAAGGCAAATCATTTCTGAGAAACATGTGCCTTAGATAGCAGACATATTAAACTACTGAATCAAGTCCACAATCACCTATCAAATTAAAATTTTGTACTCATGACAGTCGAGTTTGTCATGAATAAATCAATTACAATCTAAAGTGCCTTCCCCATTGAATAGAAGTCAGCATAAACTAAAGTTCTGTGGACTTCATTCAATAGTTCTTCACTTTTACTTTCCAAACAAAATATTTCTCACACAACTATGCTGATTTTTTCTAAAATTAGTAGCTAGAAAGATGACCAAGTCCCCTGAATCATCGTTCAGAGATGAAGTCATTGTAGAAGCAACTTAAATGTATTGAAAATACAAAATATTTTGTCTCACCTCAAAAAATACGATGACAATTTTCTTTTTCAGGATTTTGGGGCTTAGAGTTCCCATCAACCCCAGAACTGCGGGCAAAACAGGCAGCTTTACCTTCTCCTGATAAATTTGCCTAGTTCATTCAGAATTTATTATAATATCTATTGCATTCTTGTAATGCATATTTATAAGTTTATTTTTCTCACTCATAACCTTTGTTTCTATATTGCATGCACATGTAGTTAACTAGTCCTGTGAACCTGTAACAGTATGAAGAAACGTTTGTCCTCTTATTAGTTGAAATTTTTTTAGTCTATTTTATATACTTATCTGGATTGCTGCTGTAACTGCATCCTCCTTAAAGCATCTATGGTTTGTTTTTATTTTATTTAGTATGCTAATACTATTGGATGTCTTAATAATATGTTTTTAGTAATATCAAAGTCTAGTCAGGTAGACTGAAGTTAGAGACAAAGATTAGTTATAGCTTTTTTCTAATAGATTTCTGTTTGTTAATTTTCCCCCTTTAAATTACTGACTTATTACCTTCAATCTTGCAAGTAGTTAACTAGTCATGTGAACCTGTAACAGTAATTTTTTTTTAGATTCTTAAGTCAGTGAAAAGAAATGTGTTTAAATTTGTGTAGTAGGTTCCACTCCAAAGATCAACAGTAAAGATGTTGATCCTGATAACATTTCTAAATGTTGACATATTTTAGTCCATTGACTATTTCTTTATTTGATTTAGTATATGTTAATTGCTTCCAAATATAAAACTTAAAGATTTTAAATAATGTATCTTTTTGTTTTTATTCTTCATCTGCTTATCAATGGAGACTATTGACTTTGTCATCTGTTACCACACGTGAAAACATAATGTTGAGGCTTTGCGCCAACAATGATTTAAAGCACTTCCGAGCTCCCTTTATCCATATGAACGTAACATGGTTCAGTTCGAATGGATGGTGGTGTATTTTAAAGAAAACTTCAAACCAAGACTCACTTACAGTATTAAGTTTTTAATTAAGTCTATGGATTTTACCATTTGTCACCAAACAATATTTTGTAATGTCATAACAAAGCACATATAAAAAACAGAATGTCAGAGAAAATATTTGAAGCAGAACTCCACAATGGAGGGTTTACACTACCCCATAATGGTTTTAGACTTGTGGTAATAGTAGGCTAAATAAAAACTCTCATAGATTTATAGTTTAATTTAATAGCAGATGGTGAAGAAACAATTTAAATCTTTGAGAAGTTTGTGACATTTTCCTTTGTGGACTGGTGACAGCAGCACCTGGAAAACAAAGGATAGGGTTTAATATCATACTGGGAGTACAAACATTAATCAAATCTACAGTTTTTTGCACAATATTTACCTGTTTCCTTCCTCTTCACCACAATGGGCATACAGTTGAAGGAGACCAGTTTGGTTGAACTAAGAAGAATTTTTAATTGGTGGAAACATAGCAGACTTCAGGTAGCAGCAGCAGCTGCAACAAAATAAAATGATATTATACATCACATGAGATAGGAAAACAATTTTAAACACAATTCAGCGCATATCCATCACTGAAGCTTCTTGATGTACCTTTTACGATCTGACAAGGATATCGGATTCTGGATTGACCTGATCGTGTTTGAGGTAAAAAATGTTTGACTGCTCAAACTACCTGTGACAAAACCCACCCATTTCATCACTTTTGAGCGCACATTTCTGGTACTACCCACACCTTAAGGTATTAAAGGTATAATGAGTACTTTTAGAGGTTTTTATTGAGATGACTCCATAGGCCAAGGGCTGCAACCATGTAAAGTACAAGTATTTTATTTTTAAATAGCCATTTTATCATACACACTACTGGCTGGGCACAATACATGTTATCTTACTTTTGCTGGTAAAAGCAATAGTCTTCTCTTTGTATTTTAGTTGTGAAACTGCATGAAGTTAACCACAAACTCACCCACAAGATATTTCCTGACAACTGGAACCGAATCATGTAAGTTAGACACTTAAATTCTACAAATCCCGAGACAAGTTCGACAAACGAGACAAATCAATTTACACTCTGACAGGTCGGCGGGATATGCAGGTGCATCCTGAAATCGTTTAAATTCGTAAATTTCACCCCAAAGTTCGTGGTGGATGTGTGTCGTCTGCAACAGCTGTTGATGCTCCTCCCCCCCCCTCTCCTCTCCTCTCGTCCGTCCCCTCTCGGAGAGGGGAAAGGGGAAGGGAGACGAGACGTTTCGTCTTATTGACAGAAGGCGTTCGGTGAAGTTTGTTTTGTTGTTGTAGTCGCACGAGTAGTGGTGTTTGTAGCTGACAAGACCGGTGGATAAGAACTTTTAACTGATAAATGCATTATTTTCGCAGCCCTGTACCCGTGAATGACAACCTGTTATCTGTTCGTATTGAGAAAAGAATGACAATGATCAATGTCAGTAATCTTAGGGAGAAGGGTTAGCTGTTTGGTCTCAGTGTTTTCCTTCTTAACCTTATCTGGTCACTCAGACCATTTCAAAACCCAGTGAGAAGATGTTATCTCAAGATCTAGGAAGACATCACGGCCCAGAAAATACCAGGCGCACTCCACAAACTAATAGGATTCAAGGAACCTCATTGCTGCCGTAAGTCAACTTGCGTCAGTTCTGTCTGACATAAATATTTAAGTGTCCTTTGTATAATTGGATTTTAAAGTGTCACCATAGCAATTCCTCTTAGAAGCACTGTTAATACACTTGTCAACAATGGGTAATGTTAGCTCTCATCAAAACTACATTCCCTTACTGTTTGTGGACTTACGACATTTGTGTTTGCCAAGTAGTTCAGTGAAAGTGACGCATGTTGACTTGCGTCAGAATAGACCCAGGGTCCATGTCAGTCAATCTGACGTAAGTTGACTTGCGCCAAAGTAGGCTCAGGATCCAGGTCAGTCAATCTGACGTATGTTGACTTGCGTCAGTTCTATTGAACCAGCTTGGACAAATAAGTGTCGTAAGTCACCTTATAAGCTGAAATTAACTGATAGCTCAAAAAATTTTTTTTGGACTGGATTAGGTACAGGCCAAGGATTCTACATTGGATTGCAAAAGTAAACTAAGTAGCATACAGATTATAGGAACCGTTTTTTCCTTCTACTGAAAAATTGAACTTTTTGACTTACGTCACTTCTATGGACTGCCCCAGAAATAAGGAGAGGAGCTCGAAACTGATCCGACAGTTTCTCATACCTGAAAGGCCTCGGAGGCACGTAATAAGCTCGACCAATCAGAGCCATTACGGAAACAGAAAGGTCAGTGAGTTTGTTCTTTTCCTACTTCCGTTTTAGATTGCCTTGAACACCCTATTGCCCTTTCCTCTGGATGTGCAGGGAACTCCACGACTCTAATAGGGTGTTCCAGGCCATCTAAAACGAAAGTATTAAAAGAACAAACTCACTGATTTTTCTGTTTTCGTAACGGCTCCGATTGGTCGATCTAATCACGTGCCTCCGCGGCCTTTCAGGTATGAGAATCTGTCAGATCAGTTTCAAGATCCCCTCCATATTTGAGAGGTTAGGATCGGAACAAACTTCCATGATAATTTCTCATACTGGGCGGACGGAAACAGATAAGTCAGTGAGTTTGTTCTTTTTCACTTTCATTATAGAAAGCCTGGAACACGCCATTCTCAAAGCAATGCCAACCGTCTGCACGTTTTCATTTACATGCACCAGCAGCTCCTCGTCTGCCTCATCTTCGGCCTCTTGTAGCATAGCCTCTGCTTCATTCGGCACCCAGGGAATTCCATCATCCTCCCCCTCCCGAACAAAAACTTCATCATCGAGAAGTCCACCCACAATATTTTCAAAGGAGGAACTTGTTAGACGCATATTTGATACTTTAAAAAATCGACCGTTACCGGGCACATTACTGACCATTCTACACATACTGTGAAGCACACAGCATGCCTTCACATTTTTTCTCAGCTTTAGCTGGGTAGTAATGAAGAACACGATCCTTTAACAGGCATCTCCAGCGTCTCTTCAGTACACCGTAACACCTCTCAACGCAATTCCTGGCTTTGCAGTGGAGGTCAGTATAGTGTTCCTCCGGTGAATTGGGTTCTGAATTCGTGATGGGAGGTAGTACCAAAGGCTCTCCTGGATATGCTGAATCCCCTGTAAAGAAAAGATTGCTCAAAAGCCTGTTTCGATTTGTAAGTGTTAGGTAGGGCTGGAAAATGTCAAAAGCTACACTTACCAAGAAACCAGCTATTCTGATCGCCAGTCTATGCCTTTCGCATCCGTCGGCGCAAGCCAGAATGTGACCAAGTAAAAGCATCATTTTTGCTCCAGGAAAACTTGCATTAACCATGAATGACAAGGTTGGCGTCGCAGGCCTAGTTATAAAGTACAGAGGAGTTAAACTGAGATAAATACTGCCAATGTTATCCGTAATACACGATGGGTGCACTAGCAACGTCACTTACCATTTCGTAGTTTAATGCATAGTGATGTTTCCTTGTCCAGAATCCCCGGGGTTTGTCTCGAGCCTGCCTAAAGTTGGCCAGAAAAAATTTAGTCAAAATTTTCAAAAAAAATCGGAAAAAAGTACTCAAACCCGGTCAAAAATTCACATGGACGTTCACATGGTCATGTGATGGAATTCTCCTATGTGACCTTTCACATGCACTCACATACAGATTTTGCATGTA